GAAAAATGTCCGAAACGACCGCCCAGCTACTAATAAGGGAACCCAAAAAAGGGGGCAACAGGGCTCTACCGGGCAACCTAGATAAGGCTCCTATAACGGCAACTAGCTAGCCACCTGAAAATGTTCTAGACTATTCAGGCCTCTGTGCCAGGTTTGCGGCTTTAGGGGTTTTGGCCGAGGCGACCTGAGACCCTACACCCTAGCTCCCCAAAAAACCCTCCGAGGAACGCTTCAAGGGTTTAGGGTTTAGGTGGGTTTAGGGCTTTGGGTTTGGGTGGGTTTAGGGTTTAGGGTTTAGGTGGGTTTAGGGCCCGGAAGACCCCGAGGATTGCAAGGGTTTGGGATTTTAGGCTTTGGGTTTTGGGTGTTGGCTTTTGGGTTGAGGGCCAGGGTTTGGAGTTGCGAGTCCCGGAATGCGGCAACAGTGGATGTCAGGATGCCATGGTTGTGCGAAGCGAGGAAAAGCATGCAAGACATGGAAACCAGGGCCACGGACACTTCGCACTGCATTCGCGCACCTTCGTATCTACGAAGTACGCATGCAAAAATGGTAAAGCTCACAGAAGCAACGGTCCCCGCCATCCCCTCAGGGACTGTGAGCCTCCACTGGCGAAGCGACGCCCATCCCTGAACCCCCAAAAACAAGAGCAGCTGAAACTGTAAGACCCTAAACCCTAAATACCGTCACCAAGGGGCATCACTCCGACCAGCCTGAATTAGTTCCGGCGTCCTACTCCTATTTGAGGGCCTACAGCCGGAAACTGATCGTGCCATCGGAATTTTGCACCACGGCGATGGCCGGCATGCCCCGGACGATGCGATCCTGGCTGCTGCAGCCGGCTTCCACGGGAGTCGATTTTGCCACCTCGGCTCAGAGCTTCAGGGGTTTAGGGTTTAGGGTTTAGGGTTTAGGTTTAGGGTTTAGGGTAGGTTAGGGCTTGTCATAAAAGTTTTTGCTAGCGTTCTATTGGGTTTCAAGATTTAGGGCATTACGGTTTAGGCCATTGCAAGTGGTGAAACCTAAGCCCTGAACTGCGAACCCTAAGCCTTAAAACCTGCAAGCATTGAAGCCTTCGTTTCCCTATAACCCCGAGTCCTCCCCTGTTGTGGGGCCTGACTGATGACAAACTAGAACTAACTTTCAGGGTTCCATACTATACCTTGACCTGCCAAAACCTGCTTTGTTGCAGGGCCCCTCTAAAACTCCGTATGAGGGTTTGGAATAAGAACCTGCAACAAAAGAAACCCTAAACCCTAAAGCCCCTAAACAAGTAGGGTTTGGTAGCCTAAACCCTAAACCCTAAACCCTAAACCTGCAACCTGCAAACAAAAGTAGGGTCTGGTAGTTTAAGGTGGTTCTAGCATCACCCCTCAAAACGAAGGTCTGGACAAAACCGGACCCTGCACTGCAACCTAATGCAGGGGCCTTACTAATAGGTAGAATAGGGTTTTCGGGTTCCTTTAAAGGGTTCCTTAGAGGGTGCTATAAGAGCTAGTTTAGGGTTTAGGGGCCTTGATAATTAGAATAGGGTTTTGGGGCCCATTATACTAGAGTTATAATTAGGAACTCACAAAGTGCTGCAGGTAATTATTTAGGTCTCTATGTTATACCACCCTGAACAAGACCCTGCTTAAGCCCTACAGAATCATAGAAACGGCTGCAAACCCTGATAAAAACAAACAGTAGACTGTACGAGCCCGACAAGAGGAAGCCCCTAAACCCTGAACCCTAAAGCCTAAACTCCATGACCGTAAACCCTAAACCCCGAAGCCTAAAGCGTAGACTCTATGACCCTAAAACCTAAACCCTGAACCCTAAAGCCTCAACTCTATGACCCTAAACCCTAAACCCTGAACCCTGAACCGTAAAGCCTAAACTCTACTGTTGATGGACAAAATCCTGCATGACCACATATACCCAAGCTATGGGATTTATGGTACTATACGACATTTGGGTCATGCAGAATTTTGTCCATCAACCATATGACCACCTTCTTCGACCCAGCATCGACTCGCGCCCCAGCTGCGGCTGTGCCTTGGGCTTCGCTCGAAGCCTTCGAGGCTTTCCCCTTCGCATTCTGGGATTCACCTCAGGGTTTAGGGTTTAGGGTTGATTGAACCCTAAACCCTCGGTTTAGGGTTTAGGGTTTAGGGTTTAGGGTTTAGGGTCTAGGGTTTAGGGTTTAGGGTTTAGGGAAAACTCTAAACCCTAAACTGTAGTTTGGGGTCTTCAGGGCCTTCAATCCTTTTGGGTCTGTAGAGTCTTGAGGGGTGCTTGTAGGGACTAAGACTTTAGAGGTTAGGCGGATTTGGGATTTTAGTGATTAGGGTCCAGGGTTTAGGGTGTTTGGGGTGTTTAGGGGTTAGGGCTTCTAGGGATTTTAGGACTCAGGGCTGAGGGGGTTTAGGGCACTTGGTACTTTTTGGGTTTGGCGCTTTTGGACTTTAGGGTGTAGGGCCTCTTGGTTCAGGAACCTACGTGAAACCATAACATTAAGGGCTCTGCACATTCATGTACATTCCTGAATAAGGGGCATTTGGCTCTTTAGGTGGCCATGTTTCAACAGCGGCTCAATCAGAGGGCTTTTCTGATTTTTTGGGTGTTACAATTTTCGGTTGTACAAAGACTCTGTAAAAGAGTTCTGATGCCGATTCTTATAAGACCGTCAATAAGACCCTAAACCCTAAACCCTAAACCCTAAGCCTTTAACCCCAAACGCCAAACCCTAAACCCTTATAAGACCCTAAACCCTAAACCCGAAGCCCTCAACCCTAAACCCTAAACCCGAAGCCCTCAACCCTAAACCCCAAACCCGAAGCCCTCAACCCTAAACCCTAAGCCCTCAACCCTAAACCCTAAACCCTAAGCCCTCAACCCTCAGCCCAAATCCCTTATACTCTAGCTGGGCTCGGGGGTTTCACCTCAGAGCTTTTCAGGGGGACCTTGAAGTAGGGGTTTAGGGTTTAGGGTTAGGGTTTAGGGTTTAGGGTTTAGGGTTTAGGGTTTAGGGTTTAGGGTTTAGGGTTTAGGGTTTAGGGTTTAGGGGCTTTCCTAATCGGGTCTCAGAACTGCTTCGTGGCCTTGCCCAGGGAACTGGCTTTGGGATTGGGCCATCAGCCTAGAAGGCTCATATACACTACTATTAAGGAATTAGGTGCCCAAAACCATTATAAGGATGGTCTCTTGGGGCCCAATTCCATAATGGCAACCGATATGGACCCTCCGGGCAGGGACTGAGTAAGTTACGTCATGGGTAGAGGCAAGCATGCCCCGATTGGGGTTATCCTGCCCTCCTAGACCGTAGGCCTTGTGGGTTATCCTGCCCTCTTAAGCCGTAGGCATTGTAACCATGCTTCTTCCTGTCCTTTTGAGTTCCCTAAGTTGAGCACTGATAGGATTCAACCTGAGGCTCGTGTTTAGGGTTTCAAGTTTAGGGTTTCGTGTGGCCTTAGCCTTTAGGGTTAAGGTTGCCGGCTTTAAAACTTTAGCCCTTATGGGGTCTCGGGTTTAGGGTTTGGGGTTTTAGGGTTTAGGGTTTTAGGGTTTAGGGTTAGGGTTTAGGGGTTTAGGCTTTAGGGTTTAGGGTTTGGGGTTTAGGGTATAGGCTGCAGGGACCTGGGCCGCAGTTCGGCTGACGATCTGCGGCCAAGGCTTCCAGGGTGCGGGATGCAAGGTACCGGGTTGTCGTTCTGTCTTTTTAGGATTACTCTAAGGTTTAGGGTTTAGGGTTTAGGGTTTACAGTTTAGGGTTTAGGGTTTAGGGTTTAGGGTTTACAGTTTAGGGTTTAGGGTCTAGCAGTCCAAGTACCTAATAATCATATGCTCTTCTGAATACTAAACTACAAAACTACCATCCGTTTCCCAGGTACATGATTATTAGGTCCTCTGGACCCTTAGGGTTAGGGTTCATAGGATTTTTACACACACACACACAGACTCCCGGACTTCGAATCACAATCCTATAGGGTTCAGGGTTCTGACCTTCCCTTCCCCGGCACCTTTCCTTGCCGTGATGCCGCTGAGAACGCTGAATGGCCCTTCATAACCTCGGCTGACTTCTGAACCCCTCCTAAAAGTTAAACTTCTAGCCTACTTGTTATAGAAACCCAAAAACCCTAAACCCTAAACCCTAAACTCTAAACCCTAAACCCTAAGAGGCAACCAGAAGAACGCCAAGTAACCAGCAGATTGCAGTGGCGGCGTGGGCCGGTCGCCAAGGCGATGTGCAGCAGTCTGCGGGAGTCGAACCGGCGGGCCGGGCTGTTCGCGGCTTCTCAACGGTTCACACCTGGCCGGGGTTCACACCTAGGGTTTAGGGTTTAGGGTTTAGGGTTTAGGGTTCAGGGTTTAGGGTTTAGGGTTTAGGGAACACTTAGGGCTCAGGGGCCTCTCGCCCCAAAACCTACAAAATTGTAGGACATGGCAAGGTAGAACCAATACAACCGTCGATGGTTGAAGCCACAGGTAGCCAGGTAGGGTTTAAGTTTACAGCTAAGTGTGCACAAGTACTGTCCTACCTAATTATTGCCACACCCTAAACCCTGAACCGCTACGTATTGGGTGCTAAAGCCTAAACTTTAACCCTAAAACCCAAACCCATCCGTAGGGTACGGCACTTGATTGCAAAAAAGAATCGTTCAGCTTAGTGCCCGGAAGATCCACGGAACTAGCTTCTGGGTGACACGTACCGTAAACTACTGTTGAATTTCTCTGAACCCGACTCTGGAATTTAGCTGGGGCCCTGCAACAAAAGCGGTTTTGGTAGGTTTAAGGTAGATGCATAACACAGGCTTTAGTTTTTGGAGCAGGCATCGCTTCGGGTTTGTAAGGGTCCTACAGGGTATTGTAGGGCATTGCAGGGTCTTCTACAGTGTCACAGGGCTTCATACAGGGGCCTTGATAATTGGGTTCGGGTTTCCGGGAGTCATGGCATAGTTTATGGAGGCGATAAGGGGATACGACGGCTACGATTTCTGCGCGTGGGGTTCGCATCTATAGGGACTTGGCATACCTGCTTCGGCGCAGCGCTGTATCGGCCGAAATGCAGATGTTCGGAAGGGGCCCCTACATGGAAAATGGAAGCGTAGTGCAGGATAGCCCCAACCACAGCAAGCCGTAGATGACAGCCTGAACCCTTTGATGATTATAGGGCCTTGGAAATTCGAACAGCGCTTTTGGCTTTAGGTTGTATTCTGGTATACAGTATAAGTACATCACCATCGGCATCAGCATCACCAGCATCACCACATCATGCGATCCAAACAATCTCCAAGGTAAGGCCTGCGCCACCGCTTTCGGCAAAAGAAGAAACACGACACAAAAAAACATGTGGGTAGTTCTCTAAACTAGGGTGAAAAGGGGCCCCAAAAAGGGACCCCGATTTATAGAACTACCCATGTGGCTTCCCTCAACACTAAACTAGACCCCAAACTCCCTGTGGACTCGACCCTAAACCCTAAACCCTAAACCCTAAACCCTAAGCCCGACCTTAGGGCTGTTGGCTTGTGAAAGCCGGGAACGAACTGGCCGTGCACGTTGCGGACGAAATCCTGTACGCCAGACCTCCGTCTTTTCGGGTTTATGGGGGGTGTAGGGTGTAGGGTTTAGGGTTAAGGGTTTAGGGTTTAGTTTAGGGTTTAGTTTAGGGTTTATGCCAGACCTGGGGCAGAAGCTTTCGATATCGGACCGGACTCGGGCTTGGGTGATGGGGCTTTTGGTTTAGGGTTTGGTTTAGGGTTTAGGGTTTAGGGCTTAGGGTTTAGGGTTTAGGGTTAAGGGTTAAGGGTTTAGGGTTTAGGGTTAAGGGTTAAGGGGTTTAGGTTTTAGGGGTTTAGGGTTTAGGGTTTAGCTTTGGGGTTTTGGGTGAAGGACGATGTCCCATCTGCCAGACCTCTCTCGCATCAGACACTACAGTTTTTCAGGTTTGAGGAGTATATCACCAAGATTCGATGTCTTTGTGTTCAGGGAAAGGGGTTAGGAACCCTAAACCCTAAACCCTAAACCGTGGCTATGTTCGGGTCTACGTTCTCAGGTTGTTTGAGGCTCCGGCGTAGTCGTTTCAGGTTCGATATCCTCTTTCTGCTTTCTGCCTTCAGTGTTTTCGGGACCCAAAAAAACTAAGCCCCAAGCCCTAACCCTAAACCCCTGAACTCTTGAACCGTTAAACCTTAATTCCTGGACCGTAAACCCCTAAGCACTTGAACCCTTAAGCCTTGAACCCTAAACCCTTAAACCAAGCCCTACTTGGAGGGTCGGGGGACTTAGTAAATGGTTATTTATTTTATAGACTTATAAGTACTATAACCCCAATTAGGGTCCCTTTTAGGGTACTTATAAGTCTACTTATTACCTACTTACTAAGTCTCCCGACCCTCCAGGTAGACCTTAAAGGGATCTGTGACGCCCCTAAGAGAGGCTGTGACGCCGAGCTAGGCTTGGGGCTTCGGGCTTCGGGGATTTAGGCTTGCGGGGGGTAGAGCCCAAAAAAGGTTAGGGTTTAGGGTTTAGGGGCTTAGGGTTTAGGGTTTAGGGTTTAGGGGCTGGCAACGATGACGATAAGGATAAGAGCAAGAGCAGGCTGATAACAGCATGAGAAGCAAAGAGTCAGCTTGCACTGGCAGCCTAGCGTCCTGTCGCGACAGATGATAGTCGCAAATCCACGCGACTTGCCGTTCGGAAAGAGTGCCATCCTCGGGTACCGAGGTTCAGGGCTTGTAGGGTTTAGGGTTTAGGGCTCACAGGGCTGCAGAGCCCAATACCCCCAAGAAAGAACACCGCATGAACCATTTGGAACTCACATAACAAGTTTTGGATGCCATAAACCCTTAACGGCTCTTCAGCAACCCTCAGAAACCCTCAAAACACACCGGAAATCCCAACCCTAACCCCAACACTAAATCCTAAAGCCCCCCAAACCCTAAACCCCAAACCGTAAACCCTACACCCTCTAAACCCCAAACTCTAAACCCCTAACTCCTACGGTCTCAGCGTCTCCATGTCAAAATCGACCAGCCCCTTGGACTCGAGGAATGTGCGTAAAATCCTCGCCGGCTTAGGTTCTGTTTGAAGATGAGGTGACGGGTTTAGGGTGAAGGGGTTTAGGGTTTAGGGTTTAGGGGTTAGGGGTTAGGGGTTAGAGTTATACGTACTTTCCCAATAAGCCAGGGAAATAAAAGGTTAAACTGTCAGATTGCTACTAAGTCATAAGAACCAAACATTTACAGGTTGGGTATTGGAGAACTTGGGTCTATGCGTCTAGAGTCTAGGGCCGTCTAGGGTGTATGGGGTCAACTACTCAAGCTTCTTCGGCTCTGATAAACGGCCTTCATGATGAGGACGCAGCGCTAAGCTATCTTCTAGCAAGAGGGAGTACGAGGGGGTGCTCTTCATACTTATGTAGGCTTCAATCCGACGCAAACGCTTGAATAAAGCTCAATCGTGGGCTACCTCTGCAGGAAGGTGTGGTTGTCTTTTACGGGATCTGGAGGTAAAAGTTCTACAAGGGTCCGATTCGCTACTTCGGGACCCGGAAAGTTGGGCTTCAGGGGGGGGACCCTCAAGCCTAAACCCGAAGGTACGGCTTCGGGCTTTTACCCTAAACCCTGAAGCCATACCAACTAAACCCGAAACAGGGTTTAGGGTTTAGGGTTTAGGGTTTATGGTTTAGCCCTAAGCCCTAAACCCTAAACCCTAAACTACACCCTAAACCCTACACCCTAAACCCTAAACCCTAAACCCTTCCAGCTTTAAGCTTTGTCGGTTTGACTGCTCAGGATGGCATCTGGGTTCAAGGCTCCAGGTTTGGGGTTCCGGGGTTTCAAAGATCAGCGTTGGCTTGTGGGGTTCTTGGAGGTTCAGGGGTAGTTATAAGTGGGGTTATAAGTAAGGTAACTATAGTTATAACCCAGATTAAGGGACTTATAACCTCACTTATAACTACCCATGAACCTCCAAGTTGAGGTGTTTTACGGTGTAGGGTCCTAAACCCTAAGCCCTAAACTTATAAACTCTAAACCCTAAACTGATAAACCCTGCAACTTCGGCCGGTGGCCCTAAGCCCGAAAGTAACATGGAGCCCAAGTCAGCCCACATGTAATATAGGGGCCTTAATAGTTACCTATACTATTTTTTGGGGGGTTCCTTATTTTAATTCATATAGTAGCATATACCCCAAACCCTAATCTAATGATTAACGCCCCTATAGGCCCTATATCACTCCAGGTCCATTTTCACATGTGTATAGCTCAGAGTGAGGTCAAACAGTCGAAACCCAATGCCGGTCCCTTCGTCGCACTTTGCCGGGATGTTGCGCAGGAAAATACCTTCCACATTATCCCAATCAATGGCGGGCGCCCTGTGCTGGCGTCGGTGGGAGGCCATGTGGCACCGCCCGTTGAGTATTTAAAACACAGGTCACAGAACCCACCGACCCCGACGGTGACTTATAATCTGGCGGTGTAGGACGGTTTAGGGTTTAGGGTATGTAGCCGTGCCCGGAATGCGTTGACTGCAGACTTGCTAAAGAACCCCTTAGACATTGAATGCGATGCAAAAACCGTGGCAACCCCACAACCGTGCTTGCTAATCTCTGTCCGGTCAGCAGGTCAGCCGAGATGGCAACTGGACCGTGAAATTCCCAGAGACTCCAATATCCCTTAATTATGGAATATTCCTTAAATTATAGTAGGATCCTTAATCTGATTTAAGGTATATTCCTTAATTAAGGGATATTGGAGTCTCTGGGTTGTGAAGGACGAAGGGGAGCGGCCACCTGGTTAAAGGACTGTGCGGAGAACCCGAAACCTTCGGAAGCCTATTCAACCCAAACCCATGTAAACACTAAACCCTAACCCCAACCCCCATACCCTACACCCCTAAACCCTAAACCCTAAACCCTAAACCCCAAACCCCCATACCCTACACCTCCAAACCCTACACCCTAAACCCTAAACCCTAAACCCTGAAAGGAACCATCAGAGGCAACCAAAGAAGGCGAAGCTTGTCACCTACGGGAGGATCAGAGACTTAGTAAGTGAGGGTAAACCGACAACGGTTTAGGGTATAGGGTTTAGGGTTTGGGGTTCAGGGTGTAGGGTATAGGGCTTAGGGTTTAGGGTTCAGGGTTTAGGGTTTAGATGGTTTAGGGTTTAGGGTCGAGATTTACGGCGTTTAGGGTCAAGGTTCAGGGTCAGGGTTTGGGGTTTAGGGTTAGGTTTGAGGGTTTAGGGTGCAGGGTGTAGGTTTACGGCTTTAGGGATCTGGTCAATTTACCTAGAATCTTGAAACAACCGATCTGAAAGTGGCGAATCTTCGAGGCCGTTTTGGGGCTCAGGGTTTAGCGTTTCGGCCTTGAGGGCTTACTATACTGAACTTAGACCCCTAGCAAAAACTGTAATTTTAGCTGCTTCTTAGGGTTTATAGTAGCCAAAGATTACAATTTTTTTCTAAGTACCCCCAAGCTTGAGGCTTATAGGGTTTTCGGGTTTTAGGGCGTTGACAATAGAGGCCAGAATGATTCCGAAGCAGGGGTGGGGCCGGCAGGAGTACGCAAAGCATCCTGCAAAAGTGCTTAGGGTTTAGGAGCTTAGGGCTTAGGGTTTAGGGTTTAGGCTTTAGGGTTTAGGGTTTAGGGTTTAGTTAAAAGAAACTACAGGTGGGGAGTTTAGGGTATATAGGGCTTCTATAAGGCTTCTGTAAGGTATATAGACCTTCTATAAGGCTCATATAACGGTAACTACCCACCTCAAAATGTCCTAGATTTAGGGTATGGGGCTTAGGGTTTGGGGTCCAGGCTGGGTTAACCCAAGCCTCAGCCCGTTAGCATCCCTGAAGCCTTAGCCCCTAACCGGTAGATCGGGGTCCAGTCCGCACCATTGGTAGATAATAGAATGTAACGCATGCGTTTAGGTTTTAGAGTTTAGGGTTTAGGGTTTAGGGCTTAGGGTTTAGAGTCTAGAAACAAACTCAAAATCAACGGAAACAAAAGTGTGAATCGCCGTCCTAAATCCGGCTGACTCCCACAGAACATAAACCCTAATCTTAAGAAGCCTCGTAGACACGTTAGCCTCGCCGCTACCAAAACTCATCTTATAAGCTACACCCTGAGCCCGAAACCCTACTAATCGCTAAAGTCCCTGCCACTTCACACCCTAAACCCTAAACCCCAAACCCTAAACCCTAAACTCCAAACCCTAAACCTCAAATGCTAAACCCCAAACCCTGAACCCTCGACCCTAAACCCTAAACCCCAAACCCCAAACCCTAAAACCCTGAACCCTAGACCCTAAACCCTCAACCCCAAATGCTAAACCCCAAACCCTGAACCCTAAACCGGAAATGCTAAACCCCAAACCCTGAACCCTAAAGCCTAAACCCCAAATGCTAAACCCCAAACCCTAAACCGGAAATGCTAAACCCAAACCCTAAACCCCAAACCCTGAACCCCAAACCCTGAACCTAAAATGCTAAACCCCAAACCCTGAACCCCAGACCCTACTGAACCCTTGAAGCCCTAAACCCTAAACCCTAAACCCTAAACCCTAAACCCTGAACCCTGAACCCTTGAAGCCCTACGCAACTTTCAGACCTGGAGCCCTAAACCGACTAAGCCCAACAAACCCCCAACGTCAACCCTGCAAGACCCCATGTTTAGGGTTTAGGGTTTAGGGTTTAGGGTTTAGGGTTTAGGGTTTAGGGTTTAGGGTTTAGGGTTTTTAGGGTTTTAGGGTTTTTAGGGTTTAGGGTTAACCCCAAACCCCACACCCTCAAATCCAAAAGTTCTCGAGACCGTACAACAGTACCAAAGGTTCGTCAAGAGGAAATGAGGTCTAGACGACTCTAAGGGACCTAAAAGGAGTATCCAAACCCTAAACCCTAAATCCTAAACTCTATAAGTTCCCTAAAATCCTAGAACAAAGGAGTATCCAAACCCTAAACCCTAAACCCTACACCCCTAAACCCTAAACCCTAAATCCTAAACTCTGTAAGTTCCCTAACTCCTAAGAACAACGGAGCGAAGGCCCATGCCGGTTTCATCAGCGCTGCGAAATCCGGGGAGGAAGCGAGGGCCTGCAAGGCTGTCGTAGGGCTTATATAGGGCTTTTGGGGCTTACCTTAAACTACCACCAAACCCTATTTTTTTGTAGGTTCTTATTTTAAACCCTAATATGGAATTTATAGGGACCCTACAAAAAAGTAGGTTTTGGTAGGTTAAGGTAGGCTTAAGGGTTTAGGGCTTGAGGGTTTGAGAGTTTGAGGGCTTCAGGGTTTAGGGTTTAGGGTCTAAGTTTAGGGTTCGGGGTTCAGGGTTTGTGGCTTATGGGCTTTCAACTTTGGGTTCCGGTTTTCGGGTTCGAGGACTCCAGAATACCAGTAAACAGGACCTTATAGGAATATACGTGAACTCATATAGTACTTTACTGGATCCCTCTATGAGTCAAGGTTTATTGCTTAACCAAGGGTGTTGGAATTTGTATGTGGGTGTGTCCCGCATCATTGACGTCGATGTGCGGGGTTTCCGAAAATAGGGGACCGTAATATAGTACCCTAAATAATAGGATCCTTATTATAAGGACAAAATAAGGTACCCAAGTTTTCGGAAACTCCCATTTACCCTAAACCCTAAACCCTAAACCCTAAACCCTAAACCCTAAACCCTAAACGTCCTTGTGGATCTTCAGGGGCCAGAACGAATCTTCAAGGACCCCCAAAGGTTTAGTCGGACATGTCAAGGCTTGGCAAAGGGTTTAGGGTTTAGGGTTTAGGGTTTAGGGTTTAGGGCTTTAGGGTTTTAGGGTTTAGGGTTTTAGGGTTTAGGGTTTAGGGTTTAGGGTTGCCCAGCACAAAGAAACCCTGAACTCCACATCGTTTGAGCCCGCGACAGAGGAACTCAAATCATAAACCGCAAAAAAACTCAAACCTAAATCCTTAGCCTTCGTTCCAACCTAGCCCCCAAACCCCAGACCCCCGACCGGGCGTAGTCCTTCCCTGCTGCTACTACTACTACTACTACTACTACTACTACTACTGCTACTACTAGTAATAAAAAATAATCATAAATATTTTTATTGTGTTTTTTGTAAGAGTAATAACATAAACTCTTGGGATTGCTCAGCTGAAAAAGTCTTATGTTTGTTCTGATCGTATGAGCTCCTTACAATTACAAAAAAACTCTGAAGCTATATAGGTGAACCTTTCTTTTCTAGATCACACCCGTAGAACCCACTACCAATAAGACACTTATAGAACCCTCGGTAACTATCCTTGTAGACGCAGCCCCGAAACCTCCTAAACTCCAAACCCCTCCAGATCATGTGTAGGATCCGTCTAAAACACAAAATCCGCAAAAGCCCTTCTACAATCCTACAAAAAGCCCTGAAACCCTATGGAATCATCAACCCTAGACCCTAACACCCTAAACCCTAACTAAACCCTAAACCCCAAACCCTAAACCCAAACCCTACACCCTACAGCCCTAGAACCCCCGTAGAACCCGAAAAACCCCATAAAACCTCAACGGCCACCGGCCTCGATGTCCCAGAACTGGTGGCAAGCCGGTGCTTCCTGCAAAAGAGGGTTTTAGGTTTTAGGGTTTAGGATTTAGGGTTTAGGGTTTGGGGTTTAGGGTTTAGGGTTTAGGGTTTAGGGTTTAGGGTTTGGGGTTTGGGGTTTAGGGTTTCGGGTAAGCCTTAAGCCCTACGCGCTAGTGTTTCGGATTTCATGATCCTCGGACCCTCAATACCCCACGCCTCAAACCCTGAACCCTACGCCCTAAACCCGAAGCCCGAGTGTTTACACTTTGAAAGCAACCCGTCAAGGAATCCTCTCAAAGGAACCCTGAAAATAAGCCCTTAGAGGAACCCTTAAAGGAGTCCTTTCAAAGGAACCCCTTGGAGAGGAGCCCCCTAACCCCTAAACCCCGAACCCCTAAACACGCTTTATCCTATGTGCCTTATCACCTTAGTTCATTAAACCCTAAACCCTAAACCCTAAACCCTAAACCCTTTTCCGGGGCTTTTGGGCCAGATTCCAACGAAGGCCGGGCCAAATTCCAATGAAGGCCGGGCCCTGCACTGGCGAAGAACCGGACTCGTTGGAAGAAAGCCCGGCCGGTTGAGGGTTTAGGGTTTAGGCTTTAGGGTGTAGGGTTTAGGGTGCCTTGGTTCAAAAATCGTTGGAAAATGGCTCTTCTTCGTTAGACAATTGCGCTTTCTCAGGTTTTCAATGTTGAGAGTGCCTGGGTGGGTGGGTATTTTTCTAGGATCAAAATAGCGAGCTCGACTGAGACTGCTCCATCCGGAGCTGCTGAACCCTAAACCCTAAACCCCAAACCTTACACCCTATAAACCCTAGAACCCTAAACCCAAGCCTTAAACCCTATA